TACTCTCACAGGGGGTGCCTTTTCTGGGTGGGGCCTCTCTGCCCCCTCCCAGTAGGGACTCTCCCTCTTTTAGGGTTCCCATCGCCTGTAGGCAAAGCAGTTCAGCGTTCCCGGTCCCGGCCTCTCGCACTTAGTGCCGGATCTCTTGTTTGGTCTGGGTGCCGACTTCCACAGCAGCAGGAACAACTCCCTCTGCTGCTCGGCGAGCCGAGCCGCCCAGGCCCTCCAATAGAAGTCTCTTTTCTGCACCATTTTGTATCTCACTGTGGCACAATCTGCCTAGTTCGCTTGATGGTGTTCTTCTTCAGGCCACTGCCCTCTGGCAGTGTTCCCTAATCCATCCTCACCTCCTTCCGGTGGGGGAGGGGGGAATCAGGTTAGCAACAGTCCTTGCACCTGCCTCAGTGGCCAACCACAACCCCCAAAGTCTAGCCCCTTGTCTCAAGGGCCGGTTGCAGTTTGACTCAGCCACCGCATGGCCAGGTGCAGTACAAGAGGGAAGGGGGGGACCCAGGCCCACCCACTACTCTGGGTCCCCACTTCAGGCCGGAGCTGTAGTATGCTCCCTTGAGCCTGCCCAGCACTGCTCTTTCTGAGATGCTGGTCTCCTGCTCTGGAGACAGACCTTCTCCCACAAAGGTCTGGGACAGACTGACTGCTGCTCGCCTGGGCAGCCTTTATATAGGGCCTAGCCTAGCCGTGATTGGCTGGCTCTAATCTCGGCCCTGATTGGCTCTCGTTTGGCCCTTCTCTGATTGGCTGCTAGCCTGTGCAGCTGCTTTGGCCTACTCTAGCGTCCTCTTGCATGGGGGTGGAGCAGCCGCCCCACCTCAGCAATCAGCTGTCGCAACCAGGTGCGGGGCCGGCTCCAGGCACCAGCGGAGGAAGCACACGCCTGGGGCGGCATTCCGTCCATTCCTGGGGCAGCACAGGCCGGGCGACTTTTTTGTTTTTTGCACTTCGGCAGTTCGGGCGGCGGCAGTCCGAGCGTTGTTGTTTTTTTTTCTGCTTCGGCAGTTCGGGTGGCGGCAGTCCAAGTGGTTGCGGTTTTTTTGGTTTTCTTTTTGCTCGCTTTGGCAGTGCGAGTGTTGTTGTTGGTTTTTTTCTGCTTCGGCAGTTCGGGTGGCAGCAGTCCAAGTGGTTGTGGTTTTTTGGTTTTCTTTTTGCTCGCTTTGGCAGTCCGAGCGTTGTTTTTTGTGGGTTTT